CCCTCCCCGCGGGGCCGGACCCAGGCCTCGCCTCGCCGCCCCTCCCCGCGCCTTTGTCTGCGGACGGGGGACGGCGGCCGGAGGCGCCCCGGCTTTGTGCCGCTCCCCGGCCCCGGGCGGACACAAAGGCGGGCGCAGCCCGGGGAGAGGGGAGAGAGGCGGCGGGCTCGCGGGGCTGGGGAGGGCGAGGGCGGCGGTGAGCGGAGCGCGGTGCCGGGGGCTCGGGAGGGAGAAGTGCGTGCGGGCGAGGCGGGGGCTCGGAGCGAGGCCTCCCGTTTTCCGTGCAATGGTCCACACGCGTGTTTCGCCCGCGTTGCTAAACCCCGCCGTCGGGGCACAATGTGAAAAGGAGAATCACTTTCCCGAGCGTGTTCCCCTAAAAGAACGCTTTCGGCGAGGTCAGGCTCTTTCCCCGCCAGATGACAGACAAGAGCAACAACCTCACCGCGCCTGAGTCGGACGCGCGGCAGTGTGCGCTCGCTCGCTCGCATCGCGGCGTTTATCGGCGTTAAATCACCCCCTTAGACACCAGCACTGATTCTCTTGCCCAGAGTTAAAAGGGCGCTTTTCGTCTCGCGGTCTGAGTGTTGGAAATTCAGCAGACTCTTTTCTGCTAAGTAATTTTCCTTTTCGGAGTGAGGTGAAGGGAAAAGTGATGCGGTCTAGCGTGCTTTCATCGAAACGCTGCAGCCTAAGATCTCATCACAAGAATTGCTTTCCATGATGAGCGGCGTGCCAATGTGCAGGCTTTGAGCAGTGATCGGCAGCTCCGAATATATGTTCAGCATCATTTTCTTTTCTTCTTCTTCCTTTCAATGTGAAGTTGAGGAGTTTCAGAGATGAACAGATAACAGTGTCCCTAGTGAAAGCAGGTCAGTGGGTGTTGTTTATCGGCTAATGAGGCCGTTCCATTCGCGTGTTAATGGCAGGTTGATTTACTGCAGCAGGGGGTGAGTGCAGTCACACATTCACTTGTGTATTCCACTGTAGCACTTTGGAGGCTGCAAAGTGCAAAACAGGACGTGGTTGCCGAAGATACTCAACAGGGAGAAGTGAATGATCAATAGTCATGTCTAAACTGGAGTTACAGCGGGATCTGGCTGCTGCTGTTAACTCTGTGAAACAATTTACCCATCTTGGATTTTATCCCGCAGAAAATCACCATTTGGAACCAATGGGAAAAAAAAATCTCTGTTAGGCAGTATTTTGTCTCTCTCTTGGAAAGCTTAGAATGACCCCTGCCAGTGAAGTCAGAAAACATTTAAATCTAGAAGCCAGGGTGAGGGGAGGAGGGAAAAAAGGAAATGCAAAGCTGTGGAAAACAACAGTGTTTTGGTGGTGGTACTAAACTGCTGTTAATGTGAAATGAAGAACTCAAAAGTCATCTTTCAGTGGAAAGAGTTGTTACATTTTGGGAAGTGGCATAAAAACCCCCTTTGTAAATGCATCCAGGGAACCTCAGAAAGTGCTTTTGTATTGCCCATTCTGAACAAATCTTCAAAAGAAGACAAGGCTGAACAGGAGACACTAAGGCACATGAATCTACAGAACTATCACTATTGGTAGTAAGGTTTTTAATGAGAACTTTGGCATTGTGGTGATTCATTGTGGTGGCTTTTAGCCAGAAAAACTGATATTGTTTTTATATAGTGCACATGGTCTTAGACTTTGGCATGTCAGCATTGTTTAAAGAACAAGAAATGAGTGCTTGTTGCGGAGTTATTGAGTTATTATGATGGACAGATTTCCAAGGACTCTTGTTGGTACCAGTGCTGCACTGGGTAGCAGAAATATGAGGTTGTAAATGTTTTGGCTTTTGCATGTGGAACTGGGAGAACCTGTAGCTGCTGCTGAAATTGACATTTCAGCTGCCAAAGTTGGATGGGATTGTTCCTTCTTGCCCAAGCACTTCAGATGCTGCTGGCCTGTGTCCTCCACAGTGTTCTCTTAAATATTAACAAGAGCCAAATAGCCCTAAAGAAAAGGGGGGAAAAACCCCCTAACCATATTTTGGAGCAAATCTGCTGCTTGAAAAAACATGAAGGTCATGTTGGATTAATGTTACTGACTCTGGTCAGGTTTACAGGGGGTGCTTCACTCCTAAGTTGCATGAACAGTAGTGTTTCTATCAGTGTGCCTTAGCAGTGACTTTAAATCCCTTGTTCCATTTAGTTCCAAGTGGAAGATGTATTTTGTGTTTCGACAGGAGCCAAGTAAGGTCCTTATCGAAAAGCTGACAATTTTTCAAGGTGGAATTCCAGAAGAGCTGTCAAATTTGGCTGGTCACAGGGAGTGACCCCTCTGCCTCTCTCACTGGGCTGCTGCACAGTAGCTCTAGGCATGGTAGCAGCATCTGTAAGCTAGCTTCACAACTGGAGCTTGAAAGTGGTAGAACAAAGTTGCCAAGTTTCAAGTAGAGTTGGTGGTTATCTTGGAAACTGTGCTGGAGAACACAACCACAAATTATTTTGGCAAATAATATACAGAATTTATTTAGTCCAGCACTCTGATTGCTGTTAAGGCAGTCAGCCAGCAGCATTAAGAGTTGTGACATCATTTTGAAAGGCAATGTGCTGGTTCTGAAATGGAGTGGGATGTACTATGATTCATTATTAAAAAAAAAAAAAGCTGTAGTCTGACAGAGATAAAGCATATGACTGCATCATGGCTGAAAGCCAAAAAGAGAATTGTATGAATCAATCACACTTGCAGCATTATTCCCATCCCTTATTTCATAAGGCAGTGAGTACCATCTTACTCATTTAGTGACATTCTGCAGCAGAAATAAGCCTTTGAACACTGAACAAGTAACTACTAACAAGTTGCCATAGTTCTGGTTGCTACTACATCATCACTGCTTACATGTCCAATTTGCATACCTGGTCCCAATAATCCTAGATAATAAAGCCTTACAAATGGAAAGTACCATGAGTAATCATCCTCTCAGTCACCCATTGAAAAGAAATCACTTCTGCCTTACCTTAGGGTAGATAAGTTTGCTTAAAAAAATCTGTATATATATATATATCTGTATATATCTATATATATATATGTGGGTAATTTTCCATATATATATGGAAAATCACCCATTTTGCTAAGAAACTGCTCAGTGGGTGGATGCAGAGATGGCGGGGTTAAGGAATAAAATTCTGACCCTCCAGCATCAGCTGGACTAATCCCACGGACAGCTGATGACTGACCCAAAAAGGTTGTTTGGATTAAAATACTGGGAATGTGCTTTGCATTACATAGCAGGAAGGAAGAAGGTAGAGAAAAATAAGGTCTGAGAAACAGAAATAACAGCTAACTAATTTTACTCATGTATCTCATACTGTTCTTGAAATGAAGAAAAAAATAAGTCCTAACTTATAGGTGGATCAAAAAGAGTTTTCTACTAGTTTTTCACAATAAAGAATTTTAAATCTGAGGTCACTTTAAAGACAATTGCCATGCTTTGAAAAACAGTTTAACAAATAAATAGCATAAAGATTTAGATTCCTGTCTGTCTTTTCAAGCAGGCTTGTTCATCTCTGTAAAACACCTTCCAGAATGCTGAATCATCTTAGTAACCTGAACAAAATTGAGGCTGTCTTTAAAAAGCAAAGTTTTCTGTGGAGGTGGGGATTCCAAGTTGGAGTGTTGTTGCCTTGTAGTATACATATGGCAAGAAATCCCAGAAGGATTATTCTTACAGACGAATAAAGGCTTGCAGTATTTGACCTAATTCCTTGTGTGTGTGTTTTTCCTCTTACTAAAACAAAAATAAAATGTTAATGCAGGAGGCATTTCTGTTGCAGTGTGGAAAGGAATAGGCTTGTTCAATGCTCAAGTTCAGCAAGAAAGGAAAATTCAGCATTTTAAGCCTAATCAAGTACAAAGTTTTGTTAAACCACAACAGACAGTTTCAAAGAAGTGAGCAGGTGAGTGCTTAGATAGCTAAGATAACCAGGAATAGCTAAATAATCAAATACCCCTTGGAAGTGTCTTCCCCAGGTACAGGGCAGTACCAGCCGCACTCTGATTAAATACTATGATGCAATTTAGACAACATGAAATAATCTTTGCATGTTCTACAGCATTACCTCTAACCTCAAATATATTCCACATGTTTTCCCAGCATAGCAATATTGGTTTTACCAGGTGTATGCACAGGGGAGGGGAAGTTTCCAGGTTTAAGTTGAATTTTTGCAGCTGTATAAAGAAACATCTTCAGCACTGTACGTGAGCTACCCTGTCCTTAAACTCACATTTCAATGACTAAAGTTTTAACAACTCTTCTGCCTAATCTCCTTTCCAATAATGCATCAGCAGTCCAAGTTTGTGTTCCAGTGTCCTGGCGTGAGTACTCTAAGTCACAACGTGTTGGGAAAGGATTTGGCTCCTTTGCAGCAAAAGCCCAGCTTACCAAGTGGGGAGGTTTAGGTCAGGACGATGACTCTCCATGTGGTTGCGTGCACGTGGTTTGAGTGTTTACAAACAGTGTCCCAGCATCCTCAGCAGCTGCCTTGACGCAGCCAGTGAGGACAGAGTTCTAGGAATGTCCTTAGTCCTCACGACAGTGGAGGAGGGGGACAGAAAAAAATGCAGAGTTTTAAGAACTCATATCATAGTTTGGGTTTTGGCTGAGCTTTCTGCATCTGTGTTGCATTCTAGACCACTGGATCCTTTGTCAAATGCTGTAGTTTTTTTTACTCTGCACTTGAGCACAGTCTGGGCTGTGTTGATGGGTTTGTCTGGAACAGACTGACCTGAAGTATGAGATGGGGGTTAAGGGAATTATTGCAAAGGTTTCAAATTATTTTTGTGCCCCTCCTCCCCTTTTAAAAATGTATAATTAATTCAAGTCCCAAAAGCTTTTATGGCAAACCAGCTCTTTACAATATAAGAATCCCACTGTAAATGGTTATATATTTTTTCCTTAATTAAGCATGATTCACTGCCTGTTAGGATACTAGAACAATTCCCTTTTTAAAGAACAAGAAAGAAATCGTGAATCCCACTAACTTTATGAGTAAAATCAAATAGCTGAAAGTCTTTATTACTTAATGAGACATGTTGACACAAAGAGGCGTTGCTGTTACGAAAGCTTATACCACTGCAAGGCAAGTTTGGGATCTCCATTAGATGTAAGAAGCTCGGTGGAGATTTCTGCATTTACCCAACCAAATGAATAATGCCACCAATCTGTTGCTAAAAAAAAAAAAAAAGGAGGGGAAAAGTAGTGTTAATTGTGTTAATTATTAGGGATTCCTTGCAGAGACAAAAATTTTGTGATTCTGGGAAAATGCACTGTAGCTGGTCAGAAGCACCCAACTGACAACATTGTTTCCTGCTCTCACCTGTGGACCTAAACCAAACCTGTCAGGCCGGTTCTGGTCTTCAGAGACACTTGAAGCCTATGCCCTGCATGTGCTGTAGGACCTTATTATCAGAGGTTCTAATGCTCCTTTTCTGGTCCCATGCACATTTTTCAGACTTTCTTAGGCAGTTTTGCAGGAAGCACTCAGAACATTGTGCAAAGCACATTACTCCCTTTACAAAATGAATCCTAAGATCTGTTTTCTCCTCATAGCAAGGAAGCAGTTGGTACAAACGTCTCTTCCACATTCTGACTTTGTCTGGATGAGTCATTGTATTCACTGTAATGCAACAGAGTAGGAAGGCTGATCACAGATCTTGTTATACACATGGCTTCTGCTAGCAGTTGTATGTTCACATTGGTTGCTCCCATTTTCTGTTGATGTCTATTACAACACTGTAATTTTGTAATTACATTGCAGTGGTGTCTTCTCATTTACAGGATAAAATGATTTGTGTCATATCCAGAATCTGCTTCTGTTTCAGTAAGCTCTTTAACCACTTTTCATTTTCTTTTCTGGCCTTTTTTTTTTTTGACCCACAGTTCCCATTAAGCTTGCACTGTTCTGGGCAGCAGAAGGTAGCAAGCAAGAGTAAAGCATGTGAGAGAATACGTGACAAAGGCATTCCTGAGTTTGTGCTGACTGTTTTTTCCTTCTCTTGCCAATTCTAGCACTGTTAGAGAGATCAAAGGGTAAACATTAACCCTGGGCCTGATTCTGGAGGGAGAGTTTTGCCCTCATCTTCTGTGTCCTTTAGCATCTTTCCAGATTTGTCCCTTCAAATGAAAGACAACACTCACCCCCATTTCTTGCCCCCAATGCTTTTTTTCATCTTTGTTTAATCTGTTTGTTCTTTCAGTGCTACTTCACTTGTGTTTGAAGTCACATTCTTTGAAGTTATAAAATTTTTATACTTGCCAAAGGACACAAAACTCTTTCAGCTCTTATGTAAGCAAAAAGGAGAAAAGAATGATTGCATATTTTCTCTTGTGTGCAAGTAGCATTGGACTCTCCTGCTCACGGTAAAATGAGGAAAAGGAATTGTTGCAGTAAAACAGGAGTTTCTACTGCTTTCCCAAAGTTAAAGACCACAGAAGTGAGGTATTTCCATGAAGCTCCAAGTGCATGTACAGCTTAATAAAACAAATGCAATTTATCCCTAAAAGAGAACTTATGAAAGCTGGCAAATACATGGGACTCACCTCTTCCTGGGATATGGAGCAGTAGTATGTGTGCACACATATTACAAATTTTAACATACTTTCTGGTTACCAAATTTCTGTTCCCTCTGTACTCCTTTGCTTGCTTTTCTATTTAATTTCAAGTTTGTCCGCCCAAAACATCTCTGAAGTATTACTTAAATGGCAACACTAAAAATCAAAAACATGAAAGCTGAACAACTGGAAAGGGTCAGATTTAACAATTCTTTCATTTTGTGTATCTAGTAGACATTTTGTGGGAAGGAAAATGTATGCTAGTGTGTTTCCCATTGCATGCATAGGTAGTTGTAAATGTACACATCACATACCTAGGAGCAAGTGAAAATACAGACCAAATAGGGAAAAACACTCTTGATATTCATAAAGATGAAAACCACACAAAGCAGAAAAATACAGCAGCCTTTCAGTTCTCTGTTGTTTCTATGGTGCTTTCCATACTTTACATGGAACATTTTTTTTTTCTAAATAACTTCAGACCTGTACTTTTCTGCTTCCCTGTAATCCCTAATGCACAGAAGTTTCTGTAGGTGTGAAAAAGCACTAACAAAACCAAGAACTGTGCTGATCTGTTTTCTTTCTATTACTCTGTGTACTGCCTGAGAAGTGAGAAACCAGGCAGGAAAACAGATTTCTATCTATTTTTCCACTGTGTCTATGTTGTACAGTTGACAATACATTAAGTATAGGTGGCTTTTTTTTTCCCAATGTCAGCTGACTTGTGATCCTGCAAACTGCCATTTTCACAAAGCCCTATTCATTCTTCTTGGGCTTGCAAAGCTATACCAGAGACACCTGAGGCAGTGAGGCATCTAGTCAGTCATATACTCTGTAGTACTGAAAAAAGAAAAATAAAAAGAAAGGTAGGTCTTTGGGGGTTTTTTTTCTGTTTTTTGTGGGGACAGGGAGAAGAAATGGATGGAAAGACTACAGGTATAGAAGCTAAAAAACAATTTTTTACTTAGAAAACCATCTTTTCTAAGCAGTTGCAAGTTAACATGTATTTTGCTATAAAATGTCTCCAGGTGATGAATAAGAAGTTTGCTTCTGGAAGAGTGGGTCTAGCTACTAACAGAATAGCTGATTTTTCTTGAAACAGTGAGCTGGTTAGAGATACTTTGTTGGACAAGCTGGAGCATGAGTCTAATTCAGGATGGCAACTCTGATGCTTCTAAATATAAGGAGAGTGGATAGAATGAAATTAATTATTGCACATTAGGAGGCACCTCATATCCCAGCCACAAAACAGAATCCCACTGTGCTTGGGGCTGTACAAACATAAGCCATTTTTGTTCTGTCTTACTATTTAATTCAGTAAAAGAGGCAGAGAAAAGGGGTCTGGCAGCACACAAGGGGCCAGAGTGTTAGTAACTCTTGTTTATAGCAGAGGCAGGCAGCTCCCTTTCAAAAAAATAAATATTTGCAGTAAATAAAGCAAAGCTGCTATTAGTGCCTGCTCTGTGTGTGTGTGTGTGTGTGTGTGTGTGTGTGTGTGTGTGTGTGTGTGTGTCAGAGGAGTTCCTAAGCAGAACTGCTGCAGCCTTTTCCCCAGGGTGCTGATGTTAATGAGCAGGCAAAACATGCAAAGAAGGAGAGAAAGGGTATAAAATTAATAAGCAACAACTGAGAGCCAAAGCACACAGAGATCGTGCAATGTGGTACAAACCCTGCTGGAGTCATTCATTTCTGTGCCTTTTTTTTCTTAACCCTAGAAGACCTACAGGAAAGCTGTGGTATAGCTGGGAACTGAACCCATATCTCCTAAACCCCAGTGCTTTACCCTCCTTCCTGCTCATTCAGAAGTTTACTGATCGTTTTCTCTGCTTACTAAGATAACAGAAGTATCAATTTTAAGAAACAGAAACTAGACACTTTTCACTTTTTTTTAGAATTTGGTTTTCAGTAGCATTTTCTGTTGATTGACAACATGTTCTGGTTTTGCTGCACAAACTTTCGGACCTCTAAATCAGCGGTGCTTATCCAAAACAACTCAGGAAATTAAATAAATCTCCTCAGGGAAAAGGATGACTTTTTGCTTTGTGGCACTGTTTAAACCCTCCACTCCAACTGAGAAAGGATGCAGAGAAGAATGTTATCTCCATTTTACTGGCACTGTAAAATGGTACGTCTCCATGTACCTCCAAACAAATAATTCAGGATGGCAACTCTGAATTGTTAAAATTATTGTTAAAATAACAATAATTAAAAATAGTAGGTTGTGTCAGTTAATCACAGTGTGTGAAACAGTTATGACATTTCTCTAAGTAGGTACTCCAGTTAACTCCCTTTAATACCCTTGATCCTCCTATTCATTCAGGCAAGATTTCCCACAGTCTGCAAGCCATTCATGTACATCAGCTCCAATCTACCACACAATTCCCATTTGATCTGTTTTATTAATTAAAGGTTTGTCAGGGTCCACGAACCTTCATGTTGCCATCACACTTGGTAGCAGAGCTCAAAGGAGGAAAAAATACAAAATAAAATCAATTTTCATTTGTTGTCAGAAATCTCTGCTGGAGATGGGATGCACAAGCCTGCATTGACCTGACATTAACCATTGCAGTGTTCATAGCTTTCAGTTCGAGAGTCCACCTTCTTCTCCTCGACCTGAGTTGGAGATGGTAATCTTTAATGTCTCTGGCCTTTGAGAATTCCTTTGCTGTGGATCATAGTCCTAGCTCAGCCTGCCTGGTTACATAGTGCATTTAACCAACCACCCTATTTAACTTCAGCATATTCATGGACTTGTGATACAATCCATGATGAACTGCATTTGGAAATAAAATCCAATAGGTAATTTAGTTCATGCAGCATCTCTGGATGCTGGCAGATGCAGCTGACCGTGAAGGACAGATGGATTTTTTCCCTGCATGTTTAGAGATACAGCACCACTGCAAACACGTTGGAAAAAGATGGAGTGGAGCATTCGGACTTGCCGCCCGCAGCTGCTCGTCTCCCCAGAGCGGTTTGGAGGTTCAGCCAGCCCAGGCCCACATGGCTCACGTGCACGTGGCCACGCTGTTTACAAACACCCTCCTGGGTGTCCCCGGCACCGCTGGGCACCACACTGCAGCTTATGAGAGCTCCTGTGTTTCACCCACGCTTGCAGCAGTCGTGGCTGAAGGCAGGGCTCTGATGGGCTGTGGAGCTGCTAGCTTGTTCAGGTTTACTCATTTTACATTTAAGCAATATTCAGGCCAGGGGTTTAGAGCAAGGTTGTCCACAGTGAGTCAAAAATAGAAACTTCATTGCTCGATAGCGTAGTAGCACTGGAGAGCGCTAGCTGGATGTACACACAACAGTGAGGAAGGTACTTTTCTGCTTTCCAGAAACACTACTAAGGAATTGGGTAACGGTTACAGTAGGGCAGGATTTCAAAAAGCCTATGGAAATGAATGGACACTTTTATTTTTTTCATTTCCCACTAACAAACCAGGGACCAAGTCTTGTCCAGGTTTAAGAGATGGGGCTCAACAAAACACAAATAATTCAGAGCAGCTAGTATTTAAAACCAGAGTTGCATTGTCACTCAGAGAAGACTGCCTTAGTTCTGCTTTGTTTTAGCAGGCCACTGGCATACAATAAGAAAGAGGTTTGAACAGCTGTGTGTTACAGCGTTAAATGGCCTCCTATAGCTGAGGCACAAAAAGACAAAGCCTGTTTCTTTCCAGCTGCTCAGCTAAAATTGCATTCACTTACTTTTGCTACTCTCCTCACCGGTTCAGAGTTCAAGGATTCATATATCTACCATACCTCGAGTTCAGATAACAAGATATAACTACATGGAGGGAAACAAACAGAAAAGTTCCCATTCTTCAAAGACGAGCACTTTTTCTGTACTTGTTCCCCTGTTTTGTTTCGGGGTGTGCACAGTTTATTTTTCTCCTTTTGTTTTACTCTCCCTCCCCGCACCCCCTCCCGCTCACCCTCTGCTGCGAGCACACCCTCTTCCAGCCGCCTCTCTGGCTTGCCTGGCCGAGAAGTGCAGACTCAGCAGAGACTGGTAACACTTTAACTCTTTGTCCTATTCTCAGCTCCCCCAGGAAAGGTCAAAGCAAATGAGACTTGGAGCTGCGCTTGAAACAGAGCCCCTACAATGGAGAGGGACATTGACCACAGACTGTTCCCCCTGTCACATTTTGGTTTTTTTTCCTTGAAGCATATAAAGTGTGTGGCCAGCGTGAGATGAAACTTTGCATAGGTTTGGGTGGCTGAATCTGCTTATTTCTCGTTCAGAGGAAATTAAAGACTCGTGACTTTTGTTTGTACTGGCCATATCACGCAACTTCTACTGATAAACAGAAATAATTTAGGAGCTACTTCCTCAAATGCCTGAAACATGGTCTTAATTTCATCATTGCAAAGCCAGCAAAAAGCTATTACAGACACGAAGTTTCTGTTATGTGTCTTTGAAGTCATTTTGGAAACTTTGGCAATGTGCCCTTATACAGCTCTTTTCCCTAAGAGTCACAGTTTTGCATTGTGTTCTGGGACCATGTGGGCTCCAATTTTAGTGACTTAGGGCAGAAAGGAGTCCCATTTTTCTTAAGAACAATTCAGCACTGCCATTTGCTTACACTGACGGACGAACCTGCGGGGCCACCATCAACACTAGCACACATCCACGTGTGCCACGTTCAGGAAAAGGTTCCCACTCACCCTTCAAACACCGCGCCGTGGTGGCTCCCAGGGCTGCACGGGGCGTGCGCCAGCCGGGGCGCTGGCACTGGTTGGCGCAGCGACATCACACTGGCGCCAAGCTTTACCTCTTGGCTTCGGCACTCCAGGTCATGCCGGTGTCTCGCCACGTGCTTACGCGCACATGGCAGCAGTGTTTACAAACATGACCCCAGAACTCTTCCAGGCAGTTATGAAAGAGGCAGCGAGTGCCACATCCCGCGCGCCAGGCTGACCTAGATCGCCAGCGCTGGGAACTAACAGCGAGGCGCTCGTACCCACACAGGCTCTGAGAGACGTTCAAAGCAGATGATTTTGCTCCCAAACTGTTTTGAAGTATCATTGCCACCATGAGAGCGTTTTCCACCATAAACTAAAAATAGCTACTATTAACTAGCAGGAGCGGCGGGTAAGTGATTCAGCAACTCAGGGATAGAAGTGACTGTATTCCTCGGCACTCTGAGTCTGTTTCTGCACTGAACTAACTCAGCACATAAAATTCTCACAACAGGAAGGAAATGCTAAGCTGGATTACTAAAAGAAAAGAACACTGCACGATCATGTAGTTCCTGATTGACAGTTCCTTTTTTATTCCTTTATTAACACTTGCACTCAGGCACTAATGAATGCTTTGTAGTCAGGCTGTGACCATCCATTTAGGAAAAAGATTGCCTTAGTAATTTCAAATTAAACACTTCCATCTACAAAACATGAATACCACTATATGGCTGATTCGGTTTTTTGACATGGGCCTTAAGGAAAAAAAGCAAAGCAGAAATGGTGCTTCAGCAAAATAAGCACTGAGTGTTCAACGGTCAAATGTCCATGTTCTATCTTCACACATATATTTTTTACAGTACACATCTACTGAAAAAAAGGAAAGCATTCCTTCCTCATCGTTGAAGCTCTTAAAAGAAGTTTGTATTGTATGCCAAAGTACTCCAAACCAGCTTGCTTTCTAGAAGTTAGCAGTTTATAGTAGAGTGGAGTACATGATCCAAAAATTCTTTTTTGACAGATTTTAGATTCTTGGAGTTGTCTCAGAAATACACGTATATGGAGGAAGACAGGTACTATAACTGTGAGTGATTGCTTAAGATAATCAGAGTTTTCTTGAAAAAGCTGTGAAATGAGCAAAAATAACCCATCCTTGTTATAAATCACTTCCAGTTTTCACTTTTGGAATTGAAGAATTTAATTTCAGCTTTGCAAAAGCCTCCTAAATGACGAAAAATTATTTTCCTCCTCCCAAATAGAAAGTTTGACTTTTCAGAAGCAGATGAGATGGTAAAAAGACTGTAGTTCTATTGTAATACATCACAGTGTTTGTAAATATCATAATGATAAAGCCTGTAGGAAAGACACACTATGAGCTTCTCCATGCCTCTCCTGCAATACAGTTCAATCCCACTACTGAATAAAATTTTTCTAGGTATGAATGTCATCTTTTCCAACCATACCCATGGCAGCTCTACATTAAAGTTGTGAAAATTCCTGCAAAGATTCTTTGCTATGTAAGCAAATGAAACGAGAGAGGGTGACACATGTTCACTCTGGCTTGGTCACTGGCTCATTTCATGAGGTCTCTGATAGCTCTAACCTGAGCTGGGGAACTGCTCTGCAGGTCAGCCCCTGACCCATTGCCAGTTTTGTCCAGTCTCCTAACTATTTTTAGTCTTGTATTTAGAATGTCAGCAAATGTACTTGGTCAGTTATTGTTGTCTTTTCACTGCTGAATGTTCATTACACTATATATAAAAGACCTAGAAATAAGAATGGAAGAACTGAAAATAGGTCACTGCTGTGTTCCTATTTAAGAGCTCTTTGTAGCATTTCTCCTGCCTGAGGAAAGCAAATCCACCTTACTGTGAAACTGTACAAGTATGGGCAGAGTGGGAGAATGGAGAATTAGAGCTTTTGTGTAAAGTCATCCCTTAATGTATATAGCTTTCCTCTTGGGTACATCATTGTACATCCTCTGGAGTCTTTCTTCAGAAACCCTAAAGCACTTTTTAAATTGTTCTGAATCAGAGAGTACTGAGGTTTACAAGGACTAGATTATTGGTATTTATGATGTCTGTGGGCTTTAGCAGTAAGTACATTTAATTTAACCAGTGTAATGACTATACAGATACACAAATTCTGTCTGGTGAATATCTTACTCAGAGAATGTTCTTATTGTTTATAATATTTTCTTACACTATATGAAGAACTTCTTTTAGTCATCCAATGAAGAGAATATAAGGGAAAAAGTGCTGCTTATGATGAAATTTATTTTATTCAATGCTTTTAGCTGGGGGCAGGAGGCAAGGGAACAGTGTAAGATTACCATTGTATGCTACAGGGTGAATACCGCCATTGTGTCAGTTTAGATGAGTATCTCAAAATAAATACAGACTCTCTCATGGGTTTGTCCTCTAGGTAAAAAAGCAGTGGAAATCTTGTTTAACAAGTTCAGCAAAAGGCACACCTAAAGTCTTCAGATGCACAGGTACAAGTCTTACTAAAGAGTTTTACTCAACTCCCAATGAACAGACTTAGGACTTTTGATTTTTCTTATACTTAGATGGATTGATCTACAGTCATGACAGTGCACAGTTTGGGGAAGAAAATCCCTTGGCATAATAAACAACTATTCCCAGCCACAGCTCTCTCTGCCACCTAGGTGTGTGGGAGAGAGCAAGAGATTATTCGCCAGTTCATATTTTTCAGTCAATACCCCTCTTTCCTCACCACTCTGAAAAACCAATCTACCAAAAAAAGCAGGGGAAGATGGAGAAGAGATGAAACAACACTTCTGGTATTTACCTGAGGGTTCTGAATTAATGTTTCTTGGAGTTGGGAATCTTGGATAGGATCTGAATTGCACATCAATTGTGCTCCAAAAGTTGAAGCACTGAATGAGGCAGTAAGAGTACTTCCTGACCTAGGAGGTAGACAGACGGGTTGAATTGTTCCTGTTTCTCTTATTTATTGTTTTCTTAACAGAAGATGGTTCCTTAACAGACCAACTGCTTATTGGTTTTGTGCACAGAGAATAAAATGTACAGAATACCTGCTGGACAGTACATTAAGTTACACTAACAACTGCCTGCAGCACTCAAAGGCTAGGTGGGAACATGTAACTGGCCTCCTAAATACATGTTCAGCATAAACCACTGGCAGAAAATGTTTCCTATCACCCTACTTAAAAACATAAGTCCTGTAAATTCAAGAGTCATAAGAACTATAATATGTAAATAAGAGAACAAAACCAATGAAAGTAACAAGGAGCATTTCAGATTTTTTACAGTACTGGGGTGTACTACAGTACAGTCACCAGAGATGTTCTTAGGAAAGCAAGAAAATCCCCCCTTATAGAGTGAGTTTAAAAAAAACAAAAGATGGCTGAACCATACCAGCAATAGCTCTTCTTCATATACACAGGATTAAACCAGTGAGGTGCTGAGGTTTCTTCCCATGTCATTCAGTCCTACAAGAAATACTACTGTGCTTTGCCCACCAGCCTGGCTTTGGCCATGGCCAACCTCCAAAGCTTCAAAATATGACAAAAGCCCTATTTCTAGTAGTCAAGTTATATATCAATGCAAGAGAGCAGCTGCATATATTTAACAGCCAAGCAGCAGAAACCCTGATTCATTAATTCAACAGAGATACACCAGAAGCAGCAAAATCAGACCTTCTCTTCTACTCATGTTTCACTATCCTGGCAGCCTTTTTCTTTTTTTTTTTTTCTCTGATTTTTTTTATCCTTGCTGCAGGTCCACAAACATGGACTATGGTTGTCTCAAGAATGGCAATTTCCATGAAGCTCCATGCAAAAGAATGTCATATTTCAGTGTAAAGTTTTGATGTGGACAATTTGGGTTAGTTTAATTTTGAGGGGAAGAGTGGCCAGTATCTTTCCTTTGTGAACTCCTTTTTGGCCTATTCAAACTTGCTTGCACCCTTACCCAGGAAAATTCTCATCAGAATGTACTGAACAGCCTTTCCCTGTACCAGTGCACAGCAGTAAGAAAGATGGACAAGCTGCTCCTAACAGTTGTATGAAATAGTCATGGAAGGACCATTTTTTCCATCTTCTTCTCCCAAGTCAGCCAATCATAAAACTGGCACTTTTGATAAATAGGTGTATAATCTGCTCTAGAAGATCTCTGCTAATAGAGATTCTGTACTCTTACAGGTCTTCTCATTTTGATGAACATTTTTGCCTTTTGGACAGATAAGCATTCCAGTTGAAGCCCTGCCAAGGCTTAAGAAGAAAAATAACTTAATGTCTGACAAAGCCACAAAAAAAGAGCCTGTGCAAAAATTGTCTCTTTTCTCAAAAATGTTGACATAACTGCTCAGCTTGATGTTCACTCTAACTCCAGGAACTCCTGTTCCTCATTCAGTGTTTTTGTTCATGATTGTTCCTGCCTTGAGACATTGCCCTCCAGGCTACCAATACCAGGAACACCCTAAGAACTTTAGAAGAAAAGCTAGTGTGTGAAACAGAGAAGTTAGTGTCATCAAGGAGGAGGAACTGCATAGTGAGGAGATCTTAAGTAATTACACATTTTTGTGAGGGTCTGGTGATTCATCAGAATGTGCATTTCTTGGCCAAGGACCATGCCTGTGTTATCTGGGCACACTGCTGCTTTTCTCTGCATGATGCAAAGAGTTCTCTGCCATAGAAGAAGATCTGGACAATACAATGAACAGCTTAAGTGTAGGCACTTGCTCAATGTGGCAGTAAAGAGAAGTGGGAAAAACAGATGAACACAGTACTTAATCTTAGCAGTATCTATGGCTTTGTTAAGCAGTAGTGAATGAAGACAGAGAATGCAAAACACTAGAAAATATTTCTCTTGAGCTATAGTGCCAGAGGTGTCTGGTTTGACCATGGGAAGACCTGACTTCTTCTCTTTCTTGTTCCAGTGGGATTTTCAGATGAAATTTGCAAATTATGAGTGTTCCCATGTATTCTGACTCCAAATACAATAGCTTGTGCTGGGTCAGGGCCTCAAAACAGGCAGCACAGAATGAGGGAGCAGGAAGTAAAGCACAGTGAAAGTAACTAACTCTGGAATGTGAGCTAGATAACACACACTCAA